CTGTAACGTTTCGTGTGACCAAGGTCAGACTTCTTCAGACATACATAGTTCCAAAGTTACAAAAATATATTTGTGTAAGTGTGCAGCAAGACTCTTGAATCACTTAGGTCCTTATGTTTGTTTGAACTTTGATATTTACTGAGATATGGTATCATGTTTTTGGATTCGATTTTACGCCTTGGTTATTTTTCTTTTCTCTGCCTTTTATATAAAATGGATATATGCGAGTGTCATTTCTATATCATAACGTGATGAAGTTTTTTCTGTGGAGAAATTTGAAACGTTGGCAAATTACGTTTTGCTAACACCGGTTGCGCTGAATTTATTCTCGATCACGGCATTATTATCAATGGGCAAACGATAAGATGGAAAATAGAAAAACTGAGTAGCATTCAAAATAGAATTCCATCACTTAAAGGCGTGCTAATATTTTTCAGTTGCAGTTTAGACTTCAGTGTGTGCAGAATTTGGATATGTTACTTTTATGTATACACTGTATATATAATATAACACCTAGAGGCAAAGGCATTCCCAGCGTAATACATAAATACGAATGTTTACCATAAAATGTAGCTTGGTAACACATATTACATAGATTCAAGAAATATTTTCCAGTCTGGTGTGGACCTCACAATCGTATTAAAAGTGAAATGAAGACTTGACATACAAATACAATAAAATACCAAATCGCACTCATCAGTGTGACTAAAGTGTAGCAGTGTTTAAATACAAATGTATCTTATTTACGCTGTGCTAATAATATTTAACTTGTTATTTCCACGAAGGCTTTTGACTCAACTTACTTCGAACATTACTTAAGGAACTTCAAATAATATCACTCAATTTATATCTTTTTTAATCACTGATAATTGAATTGAAAAAATATGGGATGTTTTGTAGAAGGCCCCGCTACTACAGCATATATGAGAGATTTGCGAAAAACACCGCCACATTTTGAAATAAAAAATTTGTAATTGTCTTGTTAGTGTTAGAAAAGATTCAAAAATTAGAACTTCATGCGCGATCAGTACTAACTATATCTGAATGATTACTATTTTTTAGTCCGAGCTCTGGCGGGGTGTGTGTTTTAGCGGGATATTTCTACAAAATCTCCAAAATATGACCACTGCGGTCTTCCGAAAATGTATCAGTGCTAGAAAACAAAGTTACCCTATTTTCGCTGTACTAATAATATATCTAACTCGTTATTACCACGACACCCGTTGACATGAACTACACTTCAAACATTACTGGCAAAAATTAACGTAATATCATTCAATTCATATATTTTTAATCTCTGAAAAATTGAATTGAAAAACAAGGGATCTTTTGTACAATGCCCCGCCACTGATGCAAAAATGTGATATTTGAAAAAAACAACCCCTCCACGTTTTAAAAAAGTTATTGTCTAGTTAGGGTTAGATATGATTTGAAAATTAGAACTCTAAGCGCAATCTGCATTCATAACTCTAAAGGGGATAATTATTAATTTCGTAGCGGGGACTTTCTACGTAAGCTATATATATATATATATGCATGTATGACCACTGTGGTCGTCCCGACAATGTATTAATGCTGGAAAACAGCTACACTTACTGTACTTACAATATATATCTCACTCGTGATTTCAACGACGCCCGTTTAAATGGACTATACTTTAAATTAAACATTACTGACAGGATCACTGAATTTATATCCCTCTCAGAAATTGCTGAAGTGCGGGCTTCATAATTTTCCCGATAATCCACACAAGAATTCTACCCATGTTCTCTCGAACGTAAGTTCTCACGTTCAAGTGGTGTTTCAAGGGGTGTAAAAACCCTCAACAAATCGGATGAGATTCTACAGAACTGTTGGCTGGTCGATCGTTATGTTTTATCAATATCCAATTTTGGTACTCCCGATGTATGTGAACCAAGATGAAGGACACCGGAACGCAGTATGTGTACCAGATTGGGGTCAGGCCATAATTTTATTCCAATTTTCCTTATTTTAGTTCTATTACGAGTTCGGAGACTAGACAAGTGACTTTCGTAGTATTTGTATCTAAAATTATGGCATAACCCTAAATTGGTACACATACTATGTTCCGGTGTCTGCCATCTTGGTTCAATACTTCGGGACTAGCCGAATTTTGAATCTGTTTCGACAGTTTGATACCATCTTGCCAGGATGACCATGAAGAATTTTTATGTCTCGGATATCGCAAATAAATTAGTAAATAAGTAAAAAAAGTAAAAAAAATGAAAATGTATGAAAAATCGTCTTATTTAAAAAAGATTCGTTATTTAAAAGCATACCATAAGCCTTTAAACATAACCGTTTTATTCACAAGTACTTGTTTTACAGCAAAATGCTCTTGCAATATTTCCTATGCGGCGATATTTTCCGCGATGAGATCTCCTACGGCGAATTTTTCATACACGGAAAATCCCCATTATACGCGGAACTATGATTCTGAACTACACAAAGTCATCAAAGTCACAAAGTCAAGAAACTACGGTCACCAAGGTTGCCTTGAAAACTGCTCTATATGCGTATAGTGTACATACGATACCTAATTAAGGCACCTTATATCCAGACGGTAAATACTGCACATACGGCAAAACTTTGAAAACATGTATTCGATATCACAAGCTTAAACTGGCGCGATATCCTCTCAGTAACCTCGCCTTGTTATTATTTAAACGAGGAATATATATATAAAAACTGGCTAAATTTGAATTCCTACACAGCCATTACTCTAAGAAGTTGCGTCAAATTTACTTCCTCTGAAATTAAAGCCACCTTATGTTCAGCGCGTTTCAACTGGAGTAAAACTTTTCAGTAACAAAGCAGAACAGATACGAACAATCAACAAAGCCCATGAACCAGTTCAAACACAAAACAGATTTATAATTATGTTCTTGCTGGATATGATTACTAGTTCGATTAAATATAAACAATTACTACGTACTTATAGTCAATAGTTGTAACCAGTGACGGAATTGAAAATTTTAAAAACATTTTCTATTTGTATCGAACAAGAAGTTTTCTCATTCTAGAAAAAAATATATATATATATTACACGTAAATAATATTAATTAACATTATACGCTTTACATAAACGTAATATATAACTTTCGCATCGCCAAATATGCTGCTTCTGGTTTTCTTCAGACATAATGGAGTCACTCAGCTTAGATTACTTTATGTGCTACGTTTCTCTATATACAGTGGTTGAAGTTTTTTTTGTATCCAACTCACTAACAATAAGTTCCTGTATTCCAAAACATGCATATGTATGTCACTACGTAAGCTACATAAACATGATGCTCTTTACATAAATATAACACATAACTTTTGCAACGCCAAATATAACGCTAATCAACAGCTACTGTGTCATTTGCTGTGGCCGTCTAACGTTTAAGCAACAATCAAAACTGGGGTTACGTGAAACTAACTACTAAGAATGCTATAGCAAGAGTGAAAATGACTATTCCATTTAAATCAAAAGTCTTGCTGCACACTTACACAAATATATTTCTGTATCGTTTCGTCTGACCAAAGTCAGACTTCATCAGGCAATCATTTTACAACTATGCTTGTCTGAGGAAGTCTGACCTTGGTCAGACGTTAGTCGTTGGTCAGACGAAACGTTGAAGAAATATATTTCTGTAAGTGTGCAGCAAGACTCTTGCATTAAATAGAACTGTGAATATTGTTCATAAAATGTAACTTTTACGTCACACTTACATGGCCCGCCAGTCTAGGTGAGCAAAACTTTTGGCTCCCGATTCATAAACCTTGCCCAATCCTGCTTTACACTGTACCAGCATTGTAGGTGTCTCTGCTTAAAGACATCTCAGAGCTACTCGCGACTTCTATCACACAAATAACGTTAAAGCAGTACGACAGCCATCTATAATGGAATTGGCTTAATGTAAAAATCAAATCTATAAAGAATCCCTAATTTGATCAATATTCGCTATCTATATTGATCTGTTTGAGATACAATTGAACGCTCCTCAAAAGAGATTCCATGATAATCCGAGCATTTTCATAAATTAATAATATCGATTTTGGAACACCTCTATGGCGAAAATGTATGTGGGCCTACTATGTAGGCTATATCGTCGGCTGAATAAAGTTTCAAAGGCCGAGTCCATTGTCACGAAACAAAAAAGTATAGTCAGTCGAGATAACCATAGTTTATTTATACGAAGTACTTGCTATACGTACATAAACAAAACACGTGAAAATAGGAAAAAAATTCAATATTTATGTTCGTTAGTTATTTGTGAAAAGACGAAATCTTTCCATTTTACCAATCAATTTTTCATTCTACGTGTGTGGCGAGCATGAGGTTTTCAGACCCGATATCTTTTACCTGCGACAGTGCTTGCGTATATTCATTAAGCGATTCTCATTCGTCGTTAAATTGGGTGTTTGACAATTGTTCATTGCCCGGCAGTGAGCTAGTTGAATGTTGCACAAAAATAACTGAACTGAAATCAGACTGAATTGCCTTTAATTTAAAAACTCTACCACTACAATCACAATGCCCCTTCCAAACTGGCTTCGGTAATCGCATCCGATTTTGACGCACCAATGACATTAGGACGCTGGGAGTGTAAAATGTTAAATGTCAGTGTACTATACTGCGACGTAATTTGAATAAATTGGTCAACAATTCACAAGTGTTGTTAAAACAATATCAGTTGATGTGGCTGTATGACGAGGAGAATTTCCGTATTCACCCCGTATATGTAATTTTCATATTTATCTCGGGGGAGAGGAAACCCGATAAGCTCAATATAATGGTTCTGGTAGGTTCAAAAAACCACCCGGCCCTATTGGCTGGATAAGTCCATTTCACCATTATTAGTTGCTATAAATTTTTCAGTTGATTTTTCTATGATTTATGATTTTTCCGTGGCGACCACCGAGTTTATCTTCCCGAGTCGACCAACCGCCATGGAAATTTATTGTCGCTACAGCCAATTCATGAAGCGCATCATAATATTTACTTTTCGTTTTAAAGAATCGATTCGCTTCCTGGTCGCGGCTTCAGAATATTTTTTGAATGCAGTCTACGGCTGAAAAGTTGGAATTTATAGTTGAAGTATGAATCGTGAGGATTTAGATGATACATATGATCTTCTGTCTCCAGTACGTAGGGGAGAAGGTGCGTACTCCGACTCATTTGAAAGTTCTGACAACGAATCTAGTCCACAATTTCGATCGTCAGTAAGTTTTAAATCACCTTCCAACTCATTCAAGTCATCATCATTCACAGCATCTTCGAAGTGAGTTATATTTCTCGATTCTGTTCTGTAGATTCCCATTTTTTATAATGCAGTGATGGGTACATACCGACAAATCTGCAAATCCCCATCCATACCGGTACCGGTATTCACCCATACTGCCATACCAGTACCGTACCATATTCCTGTTATTAGAATGATTCAATTCTAGCAGTACCGGTATTTTATAAATTGTTGAATTGTATAAAATAAGCCAGTTTACAGAATTTTTGGTCTTCTGGCGTTACGGGACTGGTACCGGTACCGTATGCAGGTATGAGTTGGATTTCAATTGTCAGCAATCACTTTACCTCTTTATTGTCATGATTTAATTCAAGTTGTGTTACCGGTACACAGTTATTTAATACACATTGAACCAGCTAGGTATTCAGTCTGCCAGTGCTGCAGTGATGTTTAGTAACATCTTTACAAATCAACCCAATGCTGCAATGTCTGTCAACCTAATGCGTAATGCTGTAATGTCATGGATAATGCATCTTACTATAGATTTCCTAAAAAAGGGGTGTGACTATATTTATATATAGTGCTGTAGTGATAGTCACTTGCTACTCAAAACACATTACCATGAGATATCTAGAGATGATGTAAAAGATATTTGCGGTTATCTCTTACAGTCTTAGGACAGTACGGCACACTTCACAGATCAAGAGACATTGTCTCGTTTCAGAGAATCCTATTTTGTCAATGAACAAACAAACACCTCTCCTTTCGGGGACATCTGGACATAGATGTCCCTCAATATCGGTAAAATTACAGTAAAATGAGGTTGGGCAAAAAACTACAAAGAAGCGCAATCTAAAAACGTCATCTTTGCCGTCGTGGCATATACCCTCTGTTTGTGAGACACATGGAGTGTTGGTTTTATTGAACCGAATGACAGGATATTCTTGCCTTACTGTTGGACATGACATGCATTTTACCTCATTGCTCATTATCAAATTTACTTCAAATGGAATTCTGAAACTTATACCTTTATGCATGGTGCGCCAGTATTACGGTTATTATATTTAATTTGTTTCTTATGACAACAACTTTGTTCTGTAGGATTCCACCACCTAAGTATGCATCAACTACGAGATATCAACAAGACAAACCCAAAAATCTTGTCCCGTCGTCAGCGCCAGGCCCCTCATCTTCTCCACGAAAAGGGAACGAATAATTCGACGAACTTCGCCATTGAAGGGTAGGATGGTTTTGTTATTTGCCTGAGAAACTTGCCAACGATATATGCGTTCTGCTATTTATACAATTCCACATACTAATACTATAATTTAGTTATCATTTGTTATTGCTCAGCTAACTAATTGATAATAAGGGTTTGTTAAAGCATGCTTATTACTTATAATATACGGTTACATTGAATTTCTTTATTCTTATTTCTAATTGATGACCTGGTCCTTGGTCTAAATTGGGATTTGCCATTCAATCATATAAAAAATTAATTCGAATATTCCATAAATTGCCACAAATGGCAGAGAACAATGGCACAATTAATGCGCTATGGGTATAAACGGGTAAATATACCCGTCTCGTTTTGTATTAAGTTGGCAGTAGTGGACATGGGCGATCTCCAAAGATAAGGATTGGTAGCAGTAGCACTATGGGCGTTGCTAAGGGAATACATACAGTATGAAGCGTTAGCCAACTCAAATCTTAATTGTTTCAATAAATCAAAGTCGCTTGCGTACCACATGAAAAGCTCTATCGTACCACAGGCTGGGAGTTATGAAAATTGGGTCCTTGTTTGCTAATGCACTTCTTTTTCATGCCACAGGCTAATATAGAAATCCATTTCATACTATTCAATTTCTCAATTGATTATCATTTAGATCGTAATTCTCATGACAACACTATTGAATTAATGAAAATGCCACAAGATGGTGACAAAAAAGATTTGAGTGTTTGGGAAGATTGGTTGATCAAAAAGTTACAACAGGAGAGAGAAGACATAAAAATACAGGTATGTATGCAATTCAAGCCATGGTTTTTCAGTTAACGTTGTTTCTTGTTTGAGGGAGTTTGTTATACTTTTGATATTCAAATGAATGCTGGTTGTGACAGTGTAATTGACCAGACGTTAGTCATCTTTGTAAAACTACGAAAGTTTGTTGTTTTGACAAAATGATCTAGAACACCTACTGATAGACTTATTTTGAGTCTGGATAAATATCTCATTTCAAAATTTGCTGGTGAAATATGATTTAGTTTTTTGCGACGCTACATATTGTTTCCACAAAACTGATCATCCACTAATTTACATAACAATTCAACTGAAATAGGCCACGTCGATACCAGTGTAAATCCTGTGTCCACCTAGAATCCAAAATACTGTTACTTATTGAAAGTACGATAAATTGTTGTAGGTGGCCTTCGGAAGAGGGCCAGGAGCACTTTAAAAGGTTGGGAAACACTGCACTAAGCAATCGCAGCATCCAAGAATAACTTGAGAGCTTGGACCGGCTTGACATATAATTTAAGGTGTAGATCCTTGTATCCAACGCTGGTTTGGCTTTAACGATGCAGTTATTTGTGTTTATAGAGACAAGTTGAAAAAGAAGAAAAAGAAAGAGAGGAAAGAAAAGAATGGAAAAGGAAGATTTAAAGAAAAGAGCTGAATTAAAACATCAGCAGTGGTGTGAAGAAAAGTTATTGAAGGTGAATTATAAACGTTGAAACTTCGGAGTTAGTGACTTAGTGTTGGATTCAAACATGCTATGTTTTTCTGAATTCTGCAAATATGCTGTTTTATGCATTGGACTCTAAAAATGAGAGTACCTCCGTAGTGTGTGTACCAGATTAGGGTTCGGCCATAATTTTATTCCGATTTTCCTTATTTTAGTTCTATTACGACTGTCTGTGTTAGCCAAGTGAATATACCTCCTGCCCATAGGTTTCAGTCCCTTTACACAACTTGATATAAAGTAATCGAACAAAATTAGTTACCTCCATATCGGTACATACACTTCTAGAGCGCCCTTTTTTCACCTATGTAGTAAAGAAAGTAAATTAAACGAAGAAATATTTAAGTAACAAACTTAACTATTTTCAGATGAAGTTACAGACGAAAATTGACAAGCGTGAACAAATGTTGAAGGAAGAAATGAAAGTTCAAGAAAAACGAGAAATTGAGAGAAAATCGAAACAAGCGTACGAGAGATGGGTGGAAAAGAGAAATGAAATTGAAAAAGAGCAAAAAGAGAAGGTAAGTCTTCGACTAACAGTGTCTACAACTGCGCAAACTACGGCCCACAGGCCACGTCTGGCCGGTATGGTAATTCAGTCTGACCCACCTGATGCTGCCATACGGGTGTCGCAGCTCGATAACCGGTATTGGTTCCCTTTCCCAGTAATGTAAATATCATTTTTCTTTATATTTATGAATGTTTTTTGTTTTTTACTGGTTGGAAAAAATAAACTTGTCTTAGCCAAACTAAACACCAAAGTTTGATGTTTAAGCTGAAAAAATAGCTCGAGGAATTTGTTGAAATTGCGATTAAATTCAGTTTTGGCACAAGGCTTATCGTTTTCCATTTTTGCTTATGTACAAATACATGAATTGTAACTCTTATGTCACATTTACATGGCTTGCCAGTCTAGATGGGAAAACTTTAGTCCAAAAACCTTGCTCGCCCCTGGTCTACACTTTCCTGAGTGGGCCAGTTACACATAATAAACACGAATCTCAATATGAATAAAAAACAAGTTTATTTACAAATACCTAGCATAACAACTAATGCACAACAATAGCACATTAGCTTTAGGCGCAGATAATACATGGCAATTATGGTTTAATTTTAGCCAATGATTCGTTATTTTTATCAAAATTTCAACGCAAATTTATATCAATAAAAACTATATTCATAATTTCTACTGGCACGAGTGGGCCAGATCTCTGGTGTACACAATGCTGTCTTCAACTTAAGTATTTTAATTACTCTTACATAGTGGTTGGATTCAAACCGAAGCTGTTCTTGGAATATCATGATAATCAGAAAACCTGTTTTTGATCGATATTTGAAGCCTCAATTCATAAAGTCTCGGTATGTTTCCCCAAGACAATTCAATATGATAACTATTGCTACATATAATATTAAAAATGGTTGTTATAAGTTTTCAACGCATTGCGGATTATATTCGATTATGTCGACTTCACATATACAATGGTAGCAATATTTTTCTGATGACCTTGGTTCCCTGTTATTTTGAATTTTTCATGCTGTTGCCCCATAAAACAGACCTGTTCTCACGACCACAGCAAATGGGTTATGTGCGCCGCAGCATATTTGGTGTTTCGAGTGTTATGTATTAGATTTATGTGTGCCATATGCCATGCAGCTTACACATCAGGGATGGCCAATTCGAATAAAGTATTCGAATGTATTCGAATATCTCGTCATTCGAATATCGGAATTAGCGTTCATAAGAATATCGGATATTTGTGTGACGTCACACATTTTCGACGCCGCTCTCAAGACGTTTCCGTTGAATGAAAACATTCTCGATAGAAACTTGCGCGTGATTGTTTTCATCACTCATCAGCGTAACGTGTTATTTAGGCCGTAAACGCCTTTACGTTTGTGTTATTTTCTCTAAAACGAAAATTTTCCACAAATTTGTTCCACGTAACGAAGACAATTATTTTAATTTTGTACTCGCACGGAATTGTGAATCTGGTAAATACGTTCACCGGCGGCGAGTTTCTAAAGACAACGCAACTTTTTGATTGAAAAGCGGCAATTTAAACTACTGAAAATAAAACCGTAAACAATATAAGTTTTATTGAGGCCCGCGAAAATTTGAAAAACGCTTTTCTATGCAGTGACAAACCCGAAAATCGCAGAATTTCGTGTGCCTCTAGCACACATTATGTTTGGTCGGCGTTTAGAAACATATCGTCACGAATTGAGGGCGGGATTTGCCTGATTATCCATTAAATAAATTGCCGTCGAATATTTTCAAAGTATATTTAATCAATTTTATTTTGATGAAATAAATTTCACTCCGAGATGTTACAGAAGATTTACGGATTTTTCGAACGGTTTTATCTAAAAATAATCAGAGTGGCAGCATTTCGATTGAGCGGAGACACTGTTAACAAGTACATCTAAATATTTGCTGAATTCGCAAAATACGGATCAAAACATTATTTAATCGGGCAGTTTACCACACGTTTTTATTTTTATGACCGCGGATTGCAATGGCATATAAGAGGATTTTATTTTGTCGACGCAACTGCAGGTTAAATTGAAGACAATTAAATTAATAATGAAGCAAGACATGTTAAATATGCCCGTATCGGTCACGAATTCATCACTTTGCACAACAGAAAAATATATTGTTATATTATTTGTTGTAAAAGTCGACTCTTTTAACAGGTGGCATAATCGCGGCAATGAATACGTATTTTCAATTTACTGCTAAACTTTATATTTATATTCATTGTATGAAATGAATTATACTCTACACTTAACAGGATTTTATATCATTATTTGAGATTTTCCTAACGGCGATAACGAGTTGGCAAGATTGCAAAAATACGTATTAAAATTAAATACATCAGGCAGTTTATCTCGTACTTTTAGGTCGCAGATCGCCGTGGACCGAATGGTAATGTTTTTTTTTGACGTAAGAAGAAGCAACCGCGAGTTACGTTGGACACATTAAATTAATATATAAAGATATTTTAGAAACTCGTAGTTGTCATGGATAGAATATTTTACGTAACAGGATGATCATTATACGCTGAGAAGACGGCTCTTTTAACGAGCGCGGAATCGCGGTGGGTGTTACCAAAGTCACTTTGGGTGTTACAGGCGGCAATGGGAATTTCCGATTTCGAAAATCCTGGCTGCGCGGCTGGCAGTGGTGGTCATCTATCCTCTACTAATTTATTTCTAATTTCAAACACAACAATATGTTACACATAATAACAATATGGTTCACATAAATTAATATACAAATATACTGGTAGGTATTAGAATACTCTATGCTTAAATATTAGAATTTTTAAAGGCATAATGGATTTTCGATTGTTGCTGCTTGTTTCAGTTGCCTGTATTGCCAATAAATTTTATTACTCTCAGAAAATATACACAATTATCTGAATACAAGTAATATTTTTGTCAACAGACTTGACTATTATCATAATATCATGGTACCAATGATAGAAAGCGTCAGACAACTCCTTGGCTATCTTTTCATATGGTCATTTGTACAAAGTGAATAATTTTAATAAACTGACTGTGTCACAAGTTGCTATTATTTTTTATTGATAGCTATAAACTATCAATTATCTTGTGTACATATATTGTTGGTTTGTGGCTTTATTCTGATATTTTTATTGAAGCTTATTTCCTAATTTACTGGGTTTTAATAAACTAAACAAAAATGTGTTATTTTCGATTTTAGAATGTATTCGGAATTCCAGATTCGAGAACATTATTTTAGAATGTATTCGGAATAGTTTAGTATTCGGAAATGGCCATCCCTGTTACACATTGACATACCATAAAGTTCCTTTACAATTTCAATTTTGTTATAGTCAGTTCTCAATATATCTTAACCAGGTTTGTTGTTTTTCAATCAGTAATTGTTCAAGTATTTTTACCTCATTTAATGCATTTGTGAGGGCTAAAACAATATATGGTATCGATAAATTTCCTTGGTAATTTTAAATTTTTTTAAGACTTCATGGACACCCTATATATACACTTTGTGAAATGGGGGAAATTATAGTAGCGAGTTCAATACAAAATAGAACCTGCTCTTAAAATCAAATTTTTGTGTATTTGTATCTGTACAGCCAAAAATGGACATTAGGCTCTACCTAGAATCAAAACTAAAACTGATTAAGCTTTGAAACCAAGATCAAATAATGCTCCCTGTAAACAGTCCATTTCTGAAAAATGTGACATTGCTACTTTGGTTTTAACTGTGGTAGCTTATAGCCTGCTCCTGTCTTAAAATTGCAATCTGCCAAGACGTATGAATAAATGGATTTTAAAAAAATGATTTCAGGATGGCTTTCGAGGAGATACTGAAGTTTGACAATATATATTCTGACTCCAGGTGTTTCTTAAAAAATCATCAATCATATTGTTTTACTGTCATATATACTGCAAAAATGATTTGCAATTACTTAAACTTGTAATCAATGTTTTTTCAGATTTTTAAGATAAAAAAGCAAGTGTTAAAATTTCAAAAATGTTTATTAAAATTTGTTACAAAGAAATAATAATGTGACCAACTTGCTTTTTCTTTGAAAATCAACCTCTTTGCTTTGCGGGTAACATTGAAAGGATTTGTAGATGTTATTTTTTAAAGGAAAGGAGAAAAAAACTTGAAGAGAAACAGAAAGAGGATGAAAGAAGAAGGAAAAATGAAGAATGCTTTCAGAAATGGCTGAAAAAAGTCAATGAAAAACAATGTGCTTCTCCAAGACAAGGTTTTAAATGTTTGAACTTTTTTTTACTTTGATTATTGATGGTGGTTGGTAGTAAGATTGCTTGAAATGAAAAAGTCGTAACAGATTAACAAAGTCCACAGAATATTTCTCATGCTCCCAATTTATTTGAAAAATGACTACACGACAAATGTATCGTCCATTACTTCAAAGTGAAAACTTTGACCTAACAAACCAACAAATTTTTAGCTAAGACTCTGGAAAAGTCCGACTGATTTCTGTGGATTTGAAAGTCTGACTTTTAGCAGTAAATTTCAATTCTGCAGTCATGGCTGCAAGGTCTGTGAAGTTAGCTCGTTGTATTTCTTATTTCAAACTTTTCCGAGTCAGAATCAAAGGTTCAAGTCTCTTTATAGCAGTGCTTTTTTATAAAACCTTTGACCAGTCGTGACATGCTGGGGTAATATGATAACAACCAGGGACGTAGACGGGAATTTTCAAAATGGAAAAGTCAGTAACAGGCTCACAAAGTCGAAAGAATATTTCTCTAATTGACAAAATATTTTACTCTGTAGTATGGGATACATTTGTTGTGAAGTCAGTTATCTAATAATTTGAGAGTATGATTCGGGTAGTGTCCCACTGATTCTGGGATTTGCAAGTAAAATAGTAGCAGTACACTCCAGTACTGGGCTGTTTGTATTTCGTTATTTCCAACTTTCTGAGTCAAAATCGAAGCCAGGAAATTTCAAAAAGGGTTTCTGGAATTTGCCAAGTTGGACCATAAAAGCTAGCGGGTGCGAACAGAGGCAGGAAATTGTGGTTTTTTAAGTGTGTTGAGGATCTAAAAAGTGTTTCAAGCTCTGAAACAATGCTGTGTGATACAGAAAAATGTTTCTTTTTTTTACATTTCAAAAAAAGGGAGGGGATCTGACCCTCTAAGCTACACCCCTGATAACGGCAGATTGAATTAGAAGCACATTGGGATGTGATGCAAAACCGAACTGAATGTATGTTCAACCTATTTTTTAACCGTTTAGGTCAGCGATTTCCACGGATATGCTGGGATTTTACCAGTACAGACGATGGGTTCCACAAGTTTCCATTCCAATTCGATAGTCTGTATTAGTTCGACAATCCTACCGTCTTGTTTGAGAGTCATATGTTATTTAAATAAACACATACGCTGGTACAATATATCCATATAAAATTTGTGTTTTGCTTGTGTTCCATTAAAGACCTACAGGTGTGAGATTGCCATTTCACATTTTTTAGATTGACATATTTTACATCAGGGGTGTGCAACATGCGGGCCAAATGTGACCTGAAAGGAAAAATTTTGTGGCCGGGGCTGGTCTTTCATGGTGTGAGGCTCTCGAAACAGATTTTTAATTTAGTTTAAAATCTGGTACATGCAAGTAATTTTAATTCTTTGCGTTGCAAAGGCTTTACCTGAGCTGTAATCAATTTCATAGGGTTCCTAAGCCTCTGGTATTCTGCTACACCAAAAAGATTGAAAAATCTATGTTATGGCCCATGGTAAGGAACACAACCTCGTAAATATATGTAAATTTATTACAGGTACAGTGAGTGAGTATCCCGCACCTTCTTATCGTAATCCAGCACCGTGGATTGGCCCACTAGCAGACAAAGACACCAAGGAATCAGTACGTCGCCAGCACAAAATGATGATAGCAGAAAAACATGCAACAATTCGACAAAGACCAAAAACTGCGAACCAAAAAAGAAAAGGGCTCGTAAAAACTGGCCCAGAAAAGGGCAAAGGAGTGTTGATTTGTAGACCTGCTACTGCAGCACCCTTGTTTTATAACGTGCCAATTAGGAACCCCCAAAACTTTGTGCCTGAACCTAAGAGAGGCAGTTTTAGGGGAAGATCGTAACATCTCGATTCTTAGTGTGTGAGATTAGTTGATATTTTATGATGAAATAATAATTTATAGACTTGTAGAATGTAATTTAAACCAAAGTGATCGACATAGCAGCGCTGAGGCCGATGTTTGCTGTTATATTAAGAGGCAAATGTGATTTGGATATTCAAATATAACTTGTGGCTCATGTTTGGAATTCACAGGATTTGTATAAGTTGTCTTGTAGAGTCTAAAATCTGGCATGGGCAAACTACGACCCACAGGCCAAAACCGGCCGTTGTCTACTTAAATCTGGCCCGCCCGATGCTGCCACAACCAAGGTAAAACCGATTTGGATGTTTCAGCTAAAAAATTGATCAAGGAATTGGTTGAGATTGCGATTAAATTTAGTTTTAGCAGTGGCTTTGTTTTCGACTTTTCCTTCTATACACTGTAAATATTATTTATAAAATGTAACTTTTTACGTCACACTTGCATGGCCGCCAGTCTGGGTGGGCAAAATTTTTGGCTGTGGTTCAAATACCTTTCCAACCTCTGGTCTAAATCAAGGTATCAGCAGCATCCGATACATACTCTCTTCTATATCAGTAATTATCTATATTTCAAAAGCCCGGCTGCAATTTCGAAAGAAAACCCTTTGATATTGAAGATGGAGAATCTAAGACGAATTTATTTTAGGCAAAATCATTTTGAATCTGATGTTATATCTATAAGACGGGGCTCTCAAAACAAATTTACCCAGGGCCACTGGAGGCAGAGTCTGGGTGGATCCGGGCCGCATCAGGTTTTCCACAATGAAAGCTTACCGTAGTTTAAAAAAAATTCAAATCTTTTCAAATTTCTTTTAACACAAAACAAGTTGAAAACATAAATGACCAAATTGAGACGAGAGAGACTAAATTGAAAAATAACTGAAAATAATAATACTGTAATTAGTGATTTTAATGTTAAAAAAAACTTATATTAAATGTATTCATCGCCAATCTAGCGACTTGAACTAAGTGACACACTAACATTAAGCTTTCATACTGAGGCGGGGACCACAAACTATCGTCCCGCGGGACGCAAATGGCCCCCGGGCCGCGAGTTTGAGACTTCTGTTATAAGATGAATTAAGAGCAGAAGAGCCGGACAATTGATGTTATGACAGGGTTCATGTGCCGTACCGATACTATCCTGCATTGAGATGTGCGTTAAATCCAGTTTAGTTCAGTCATACATTGTTGGAGCGTGTACTTGAAACAATAATTCTCGAAATAGTTCCCAAGTTCGTCATTACATGCAAATATCTCTGCAACTTTAAACAAATTTATATTTTATAATCCAGGCGGCCTTTTTAGTTACCAAATGAGATGTGCGTTAAATCCAGTTTAGTTTAGTCATACATTGTTGGAGCGTGTACTTGAAACAATAATTATCGAAATAGTTCCCAAGTTCGTCATTACATGCAAATACCTCTGCAACTTTGAACGAATTTATATTTTAAAATCCAGGCGGCCTTTTTTAGTTACCAAATGAAACCTGTTTTGACTGACCGAAAGATGAAGAACTTCAGGTTTGATATGACGAATCTGGTACTGTTGTAAGATGGTTATTCCAAACACACGAACAAGTGTGTTGAACGAATTAATTGAATCTACCGGTAGTTGTAATGTAAACTGATCACGCTGTGAGTTTCATTCTTTGACATATAATCCTCGGTTTTGAAACCTGGAAGTGGATGGCGCAATGACAACAAAGTGTCGAATTTAATGTTTCTTCAGATCGTATTTGACTTTAAACTTTTTGGGCGGCTTTTTCGGCAATTTGATTTTTTTTATTAATTCTGCACGGAAAATCATTCGAAGTATCTTATTTGGGTAGACCAAGAAATTTAAATGATGGTCAATTCGTAAAATCGAAAATGGTACGCCGATTTCACAGAAATGGATAACATTCGCTTTGTTTGGCTTCATAAAGAAATGTCGGTCGAGCAAATTTACGCACCACGTCAGTATTTATCAATAGCGATTGCCTAGTATCCATAACCGGAGCAGAGATTGTCTGTCCGTCTGTTGTACGACCAACTTGACGGTATATACGCTCAGTTCTGAAGTCTTCCGAACCCCCATTATATAAAGCAGTGGTTCCCAACCTTTCTAACCTGGCGGACCGGTAAAATTAATTTAAATGTACTCGCGGACCGGCAAAAAATGGCCGAAACAGAAAAGAATAACATATATTTGCGTAATACAATACAATGTCGGGCACTCAATGTGCATCTAGACAAAAAAGGCACTTAAAAACAGCTCACACAAAGAAAAACTATCAAATGTGGCGGCCAAAAATTGAAATGGGTGAAACATACATATTTGCGTAATGAAATGCAGCGCTGGGCACCCATAATGCGTAAGAAAGGCACACATAAAACATCTCACATAAAAAACATATACATGCCAAATCATGTACAAACGCAATTAACTCTAGTGAGAATTTTGCTGCTGTTTAGTTTCCAATAAAGGAATGCAAACGATGCCTCAAGGAAGTTTCTGCAACACGTAGCTCTGCAGCGGCGTGCAGCAAATTTCCTTGCTTCGCTTTAATTAGAGCTAGTGATAAAACTACTTTTATATATAAGTAATAAAAATATAAGTAACTCCTGGACTATTATAAAGGATTGTAAACACGTTTATACGGTTTAGGTTTATTTTGATTATCCGATACACAACATCCACAAAACAATGAAAACGAATGGAAAAACCGCAAAACTTCTAAAAAGATTTAAGAAACGTAGAAATACATGTGCCAGTTTACCCGTATTACACAAAAAACGGGTTTGGAAAATCGCCCTAACCCTATAAATCCAACTTTTTTTATCACAAATACTGGTCTACTCAAATACTTGTTTTTGCAGCGAAATTTCATGTGGCGAGATTTCCTACGGCGAATTTTCCAGAGACGCAAAAAAACTAAAAACACGAATGTACAACGTTTAATACGTAAAAATTATTATTTCTGTGATCGCCAAGTTGCATTAAAAGACTTGTACTGACCCCAAGAAGGCAGGCTTCAAAACTTTTAGATCTTTGTTTTAGATTTAGTTTTCAGTGGCAAACATTTATTTCTTGAAATTGTAGGATACGGTTATATTCGCGTGTTTGAGCGACAGCTAGATCTAGGCGTTTTATGTGTGGTACCGCTACAGTGCACTTACGTATAAAAATAAGTCAAAGAATGAATTTATTCGTTATGAATATTTTTGAAAATAAATGCTTCACGCTTTGCATGATATTTGTCAGTTTTTAGTTATATTTTCGAAATCAAACGATGCATTCAAAATTTAGTTTACATAGTTGAAATATATTTTTTGGAATGACCGGACTTCGATAATTTTGACCTTTGGCGAAAATACTTAAATAGATCTGGTGTAGAGTATATTCGACCCATACCATAGCTGTAAACCTTCGTATACCAATCGTTTTCTGTGTACCAAGGTGAATATTCTTTTGCATTGGACTCTAAAACCGACACCATAAAACTTGTTAATTGAAGAGGTGGCTTTCATCTGACATCGATTTTTCTGTTGCGGAAAATTTACAATCTACGACCGGTAATAAAATGTCATGCCATCAGAATTGTAAGCACTCGACTATACTTCAATTATACCGCTTTTTACCCCAACAACCCCAAAGAATACAA